GTATGGTATGGTATGGTATGGTATGGTATGGTATGGTATGGTATTTTTAAGTGTACTAAATAGTATTGTCTTGTCAGTAAGTTTTTTGAGTGTGGCTTTGGTTTCAAAAGCTCTTTCAGAGAAGGAGGTAACTACTGTATCACATAACCTGTCTCCACTTTGTCACATCATGTGTCCCCAGCACTTGGCTTGTAAGAGGTCCAGAACTTGTTGGGTCTTCATGTGGTGATTGAGTGACTCAGCTCAGTGATGTGGCTGGGGAAAAGCTTGGTTAAATTTCTACTCTGTTATGGGTGTGTTGGGTGGTCCCACAGAGAGGAGTGTCGAGGAGCTGAGGCAGCCTTTGGAGGCTGTGGGTGCATGCAGCATGAGAACAGCTATGGACAGAGCTGAGAGGAGTGGGGAAGAAGGACAAGGACTAGGACTTTTTTTTGGCATCACACATTTGTTAAATGGACTCAGCTACTTTTGGGACCATAATGTGTATTTAACTGAAAGCAATTGTATGTGTACATGGGTGTCATTATTCACACAAGTCACTTGATTATTTATTTTACTTTTTCTTTGACCTTGGCCTCAAGCTATTACAAAGATGGAATGATAGCTGTGTTTTCTGCCTTCATTATTTTAGCAAATATTTTAGAGCATTCAAAACAATTATTGTAATACAGAGGGGATGGTTATGGTGCAGTGTGAAGTAGTGATATGTGAATTGTTATTAATTAAGCACCAGTTCTTGAAAAGTCTACACAGCTTCTATTATTGTGACAAAACAAAATGAGGACAGCTATGCAACAAAAAGAGGACCGTTAAGTTTTAAAAATAAATAATGATAATCTGTATTCTTGAGTATGGATTAGACAGTTCACTGCAGATCAAGTACTGTTAAAAATTGTCATTTCAGGCCAAGTGTTCATGTTTGAGTTGCCACTTCACTTTCCATTGTAGCTGACAATGTGAAAATCCCTGATATTTCACTTTCCCACAAAGGAAATACTGTGTGTCATTAGGGTGAGCTCAATCCATCTCTCACTCAAGTCAGTAGTGATTTCCTACTGACCTCTGTAGGATTGGCTTTAGCCCTGTGATGGAACTTTCCTGTGTTTTGCCAAGATCCACCACTCTATTTTCCTATTTTTTCCATATGTAAACCTTAGATAGATGCAGTGATATTTATGCAGCAGTATTACCAGATGGCTCTTGAATCATTTGTTCTCAATGAAAAATGAAAAGACTGGGCACATATATAAAGGCTGAATTAATCTTTGTAATTAAATGGAACATTACTTTGCCATGAATGATTTTAGCTTTCACAATGTATTTCATGCTAATTTTTCAGTGAACTGTAATTGTATTAATTTTTTATATATTTAGAAGCTTAAAAATGATCTTCACAAAGTTATTGAGTAAGTTAATATACAGAAGATCTCTGTCAGACTCATAAAACTTTGTTGTGAGATATATGTTTTCTTTTGTTTTCTCTTTACAGTAAGTAAAATATATCAGTACTTAGTGTTGTATAAAATATCCAAGTCATACTCTGAGAGGCAAAAAGGCACTCAGGATGCTCACATGCTTGGTTGTCAAGTGAGAATTTGAATAGGCTGGGAACTGGGCTGCTTTGGAGCACTGAAACACGTGTGCATCCCCACGTTGGCAGGTTGTTAAGCAGAGTGAAAGCTCCTTTATTATCTTGTCTGTGTAGTAAAATGACTCCCAATGCTCTGCCTGTGACAGAAAGACACTGATGGTAAAATCCTGGCTGTGTTGAAGTCAGTGGGGAAACTTCTATGCACAAGGAGTGGTGGAATGGTCCCACTCTGGCTCCTCTGCCTCAGAGCCTGCTCTCCCTGGCTGCTGGGATAGGAAGGAGTTGTCATGACTTACCCTGAAGCACCCTGCAGCATTGAGTTTCCTTAATTTACCCAGCAGCCCAACTCAGCTGAGTGCGTAATGATGCCTGGGGGAAGCACCCCAGCGCCTCTTTTCTTCCTGCACACATGGCTGTTTAATATGCAAATTAGAGAGAGGAGTGAAATGAGCCTTTAAACCATAAAAAGTTGTGCATGGTGGATTTATGGGGGATTCATGTTCAACTGCCACATGGCTGGTTCCTGTACATTTGTCACATTTCATTTGACTCCCTGTGCTTGCCTCCTGGAAGGCTGCTCTCTTATACATACTTTTAATCCTATCAAGGGGAAAATAATGACATCATTATCAAAGAGTAAGCAAGCTGTAGAAGAGTTTTCTACTTCCTTGTGCTATATAAATAAGGAATCTCCCAACTGCTGTTAAATATTACACAAGTGAACAGAAAAATAGGCACAGAAACAAAACTTCCAACATGCAAATTTAGAAACCTGCTCTCAATGTGATACTTTCTAACTTTTCAGTTGTGTAAATAAATTGTGCTGCGCTCTGCTGAAAAGGTTTGCACCTGATGCAAAGCTTCTAGGAGGAATCCCAGTCAGAGGAATTCCCAAGGACTTCAGAATGCTTCCTATGTTCTCTCATGAGTTTTACTTCGGCTATAGGAAACAGTTTATCTAACCAAGAGCCAAACATCCTTCACTGTCAGCATCAGCTTTGTCTGTCTTACTTGCTCAGATCTCTAAACCACACATATTGTGGTAATGCCTTTTATTTAACAAATGCAATAATATAACATTCCCCCCTTATCTGCATATCTATTTGGCTATCTATCATCTATCTGTCTGTTTGTCTGTCTGTCTATCTATCTATCTATCTCACAGAATACAGTCAGCTTTAGACATACAAAGCATCAAAATACTAAAAGCAGCATTACCTTTTGAGGTTATTTCCAAAATCTCAAGATACGCTCTGTTATTTACTAGGGTTTTTTATAGACCTTATAGAAAATCTCCATAGTGTTTGACTATTTTATTCTCATGCTTAGATATCTCAGTCTCACTACATCAAATGTGACAGTCAGAAAGCAAATGATGAACTCATGCAGAACATTTGAGATCCACCTGATTTGTTTAAGTAGCTGACTTAGTAGAAATTAAAACTATTGGGTTTTGCTTTTTCCTTTTCCAAAGCTAGTTTTAACTAGTATTGAAACATGGGAAGTGATAAAGGAAATTTTCTGTTTCCTTGCAAAGTTCAGTCAGTTGGACCCAACAACACCACCAGGAAAAATTTAGACACTCTTGATTACATACAAACTTGCAGATGAATCGTGCTCCCTTTCTGGCTTTTTGTTCTCCCTCCCCATCACAGCCTTTAAAATATCATGAAAACTGCTGAACCTTCTGGCAAAGTGAGGAAACATTCTGTTGAGAGTTAATTTGGCTCATTTCATATTTTCCATTCAGCATTTTTCTTCCATTGCTTTTTTTATTACTAGGGCAATTTGCATGACAATGGGATCTTTCTTGCTTAAGAGATTGTCTGCTCCTGCTGCTAATTTCCTACCTGAAGTTGTTATCTTCTGTTTGTGACATCTTAATTATCTCAACCACAATTAATTGTGATGTCACAAATGGAGGATTATGACTTTGGGTTGGAAGTGAGATTGAGAAATTGAAGGAGTTTGAAGAAGAAAAGAGGCTTTTCTTCTTGAAAAATAAAAGAGGTGACAGGATGACTTTGGTTAAATGGAAGCAATCCTCCGTCACCTTTTTTTCTGAAAGTTGTGGAACAGCTGGTTTTACGTTTTGCTGTATAGGAGGCCCTGCTGTATTGAGATGCTGTGAAGTGGGAGAAGGGGAAAGGCTGTGTAGAGGAAGGGAAATCTTCCCTTAAGCAGTCAGTCCCTGAAGCAAAAAGGAATGAAAGTTATTGGACCCTAAAAAAGACCAGACCCTGCTCATAGAGAGCAGAATGCAGGATTGGTACGGTTGTACTTGGTTTAAAGGCCAATCATTTATTGTTTTTCATATCTTGCAATATTCATTTGAGTTTTGACATCAGAGTCTGATGACCACAGAGGAGCATTTTTTGAATGGAGGGAATTCCAAAGACTTATGGAGAAATTATATTCAGCATCATGAAAATACAAAAAATGAAAGTTTTGTGCTAACCTAGTCCATCATAGCTGCAATTTATCCTATGGACTTGTCACATTTCACTTCTTGGTATGTCATCTTCTCTTTTTGTGTACCTGTGCTTTTCTTCTGGAAACTTGTTCCCACAGAGATTCTGGGTGTCTGAGTGGCCTCCTGGTGGTTCTGTGGGGACATTACCAAGGCCGTTTATAAACTCACACCATGATGTACAAAGTGAGAATACTCATCTGCAGCTACTTCACACTGGACTATTTGCACAGGTTGTGCATAAACGCTGGGACCAAATCACAACTGAAAGGGATTAATGAAAATTGAAGTGTCTTATTTTAACACCTCTACTGGCATTAGGGAAAGAGCAAAGACTGCAAAGAAAGGGAGGGAAACTGGATAACTACACACAGACCAGTCCTGTGGTTTTCAGAAAGTACAGTGTCCTTGAGAACAGGACCCATCCTCAGGTGCAAATGGAAGTGGCCCTCAGTGGAAACACCAGGCTGCACTTGCTGGGATCAAGCTTCATTCACATCTGTGCATCAAATCTGTTTGAGCAGTTGGATGTGTACCAGCTACTGTGCCATAGCAAAACAGGCCATTTCCTGTTGTCCTTTGGAAAACAGTGTACAAACAGGCATTTGACCATCTGATTAGCACAAAACCCTGTGGGGAAAATCAGCTGTTAAGGTTTTGCACTCAGACACGTCGCTGTAAGTACGCAAGAGCTCTGCAGGCAGTGACAGACCCACTGTGATAATCTGACAGCAGAATCTGGACCCTCTGCCTTGTGATGCCAAGCTCATTTGTGGCACCAAGTTTACCTTGTAGGCAGGTTGCTTTGAAGTTACATTAGGATGGCTCCAGGAAAGCATAATAATACCAAGTGGAAACTGAGCAAGAAAGAAAAAAAGCTTTATGCTGAGAAGTGGTTTTGTCTGTCAAAACTTTTTTTTTTCTTTTTCTTTTTCAAAGGCAAAAGCAGTTATGGCGAAAGTTGGGTACCCTCAGTTTATAATGAATGACACATATATTAATGAAGACATCAAAACAGTAAGTGTCAGGCTTGCAGCTTTATTCATTTGTTGCAGCCATTCTTTGCTCTGTTTTGCTGCTGTCTAAAGTCAAAGCTAGTCTTTTGTTTGGCATGCTTACTTGGTTATTTTTATTTTAGTTTTGAAGTGTGCTAGCTCTAAATTTTATCTAAATAGTCAATGCTGTTATATCTAAGTGAGATCATGAGGCCTGCTGGGAGTAAATTCTGTCTGGGTGAAAAGAACCTTCCTGCTATTAAGCATTTTAAAGGTTAAGCATACGCTGTAATGATTTTGCATTTAGTTATAAAAATGGACCGTAACAAAAGCATTTTTTCTCAAAATAATGATTTTCAAAAAGCCTAATGCAATTTACCTCAGAATATCACAATTTAGGATGCCTTATATAAGTTCTCCTCATATCTACAGGCTACGAATTTAATTCACAATTGATGCTTGTAATCATGCCAGGATGTCCTAACCAATGTATAGGCCTATTGTGCTGCCTGCTGGACAAAGATACTGTGGGGGGACTCCTTCCTGCCCCAGTACCTGTTCAGCCTAACTAAGGCAGGAAGGCAAATGATTAATAATAACAACAATATATTTTACTACTTTCCAGCTGTGGCGTGCATTTGATGAATTGTATTACTGAAAGTCACAGGCAAACCAGAAATACAAGTTCAATCCTGAAGCAGTAAAATACAAGAGCCATCATCATCATTGCCAGAGCACCTGAACAAACACTAAATAGAGAACCATGTCCACCAGCCTAGTCCTTGTCCAGGGAAGCTGTAGGGTGAGATGATACAGTGAAAACAGTGCAATGAGACAGAGCATGTGACCAAGTCTATCACTCAGTGTATGGCATTATTTGCTCAGATAAATGGCAATGGCTGGTGAAAAATACTGGTTAATCATGGCTGCAAACCCAAAGTTTACATCTGAAGAGCAACTTCCTCACAAATCCTAGAATTGTTTTAAATTGATGAAATGGATTTATAACCTATTAACATCTCTTTTCCTTGCCTGCTTAGTTTTGTGTGTGTGAATGCAATTAGATTTGGAAACTTATGGAAGCATGGAGTCCTATGGCTGTAAATATTTAATGGGGTAGAACTCTCAGAAGGCACAGAATATGAAGTATTTTTTATAAAATGTAAAGCAAATTGATAAAGGGACTTCATTACATTGTTGGAAGTGGTTTTAAAATGCACTTTTAAAAATAAAAGTAAGCCTACTTCCTCCTGGGAAAGAGGCTCTCTTAATAATAGCCATGGAAATGTGCAGTCTGCAATGCACTGTTGGGTGCTTATGATTCCTTCAGCAGCACTCTGCACAATGAAGAGTTTTCCCAGTGTTCCAGACCCTTGTGCAGATCTGTTCAGCCAATGTTTTTTTTAACTAAGCTCATAAAATATTTATTCTTCCTACCAAGTGTGAAAATTTTACTTGCTTTGATAATCACAAAAAAATTAGGTAATTATCTTGTATAAAATAAAAGTTCTGCTTGTTTTGTGTCAGCTTTTGTTTCTTTGGACATGCTTTAAAAATATCTGTGCTTTCTTGGTACAGCTGAAGTTTACAGAAAGTGATTATTTTGGCAATGTATTGCAAACTCGCAAATATGCAGCCCAATCTGATTTCTACTGGCTTAGAAAAGAAGTTCCAAAAACAGAGTGAGTAGACAAAAGGCAAATTTACATAATCTTCTAACAATATTATAATTTGTATTATTTAATTTATATATTAAATACTGTTATATATTAAGTTTTAATAGAATTATGTTAACAGCAATGTATTATGCCACAAAAAGCCTATGGGCAAACTCTCATTATTCAGAAACTCCTGTGAATTTTCTTTTTGAAGGTATCCCTGTTCATATGCAGAGTAGTCATGTGCTTGAAGCTCAAACTTAATTTAATGAAAAAAGGGGTAATTGAATTGCAATTAAAAATGGATTATGTCTCTTGGTCACAGTTAGAGTTTGAAATGGTACAGTGGGGATTTATGAACTGAATTCTGTAGGAATGAAATCATAGTAAGAGATAATGCTATTATTAGAAATACAAATCAGCATTGTTACTTACCTGCTGTTGATAGCAATGATACAGAATAAAACATAATTTACTCTACGTATGTTATTCTTATTTATTTGTAAACATAAGAGTGCAGATTGTGTTACAAACTTTCATAAAATACATAAGAGAATCATTCTCTTTTCTTACTGGTGGGTAATCAAATCCTTTAAATGCAAATTAAAACCTAAGCAGAACTTAATTAGTCTAATCATGCTACTTAAAAATGACTTCTTCTACACACAGACTTTGAAATCAGTGCCAGTGCTTAGCTCCAGTGGTTTTATTTCCTTAGGATTCCAGAAACCCTGCTCAAACTGAACCATGCCTTTTTCTGGGGGTGGCTCTGTGCTGTCCATAGGCAGGAGGACAAACTAAGGTTGCTCATGGTTGAAGTGCTTTAATTTGGCCCTGCGTGTTCAAGGTGTCATTTATAGCTTAGCTTTAATTGTGAATTTTACCTTCTCATCACAGCTTTCTCTGACATGGCGCTGGTCAGCCCTGGGGTATGATTTTAGGGGTATGACCATGATGGTGTGTTCTGTTCAGGGCAGCAGTTCCAAGAGAGCAGTGGAACAGCCCTGGCCTCTCTATAGCACTGGCCAGCCTTGGGGCAGCCAGCACTGGTGCAGCACCTGTAGACTCTCGGCACAATGGGAAAATTCTCCTGAGGGGAAATCAAGTGGCAGGCAGCCTCTGAGTCCAGGACTGTAGTCTGAGAGCTGTCACATGGGTATGCTTAAAAAATGAAAGTGTTATCCAATTGCCCTCTACAAGATTGAACCCTTCTCATGCCTGTCTTACCCTCTTATTCCCAGGACTACATAATAGCCAGCCCCTCATCACCTTTGTAGCTCTTTTCTTGTCAGCCCTCAGAGCACATTCAGGCCTGGGGGTGCCAGTTTGATTTCTGGTCCCTTCCCTTTGTTAGCACAGCGATTTGCTCTGCCTCTGCAGGGCTGGAGGTAATCTCACCTGAGCCCTGGCAGGGAGGGATAATTAGGGCACCTGCTGGGATATTATTCTGTCTCTGCAACTGTTCAGTGGTAGAAAAGGGCTCTGAAAGTGGTGTCACTCTGCCTGCTGAGGGACACCAAGGCACAGAGTCATTGCTGCCTCCAGAAATTTTTAAAAAAATTTATTTAAATAAACCAATAACTCCCACTTACCAGTTTAAGTCATGTCAAACCTGGCCTCAAAAATATCAGCCACTTTTTAGCTACTTCCCACTTTTAAATCATCATACTTCACTGCTTTCTGATGCTTTTACTTTCTTTTTTTCCTCCCATTTTTCTGTTTTCGTTTTTTAAACTTTTACATTTCATATAACTCCACAGAATTTTTGATGAGGCTTGGTGCTATGTTAATAGCTAATTACCCTTGGGTTTTTGTTTCTATTTGCTTCATTTCTTCTTTTCCCTAGTTTAGTAGCTTTTAGCATAACATTTATATTTCACGATAGATATTATAAGATCATCAAAGTTGTAGACCAAAAAAGATAAATAAGAAAATTAGTGTTTAAGGAAATAAAATAAAAGTTGCTAAAATAATATTATACCCAAAAGGTAAAACACTATATTCTTTTAGCAGATAGTCCATGTTTCTCAATAATTATTTCAAACTGGAATCACTTTCCTCAGCAAAATGTGAAATTAAAATGATAGTTCAATCAAAGCACCAGGGAAAGACCATCAGGGGATAGACAGAGATGAGAGATACAAGACAAAGCAGCTGGATAAAACAAGGGGGAATATGGATAACTGTGGGAACCCAGGACATCTCTCTGGCTGTCCTGAGCAGCCAAGACCCCTGCCAGGGGGCTCAGAGCCCAAAACACCTGTGGGTTTGATTATGATCCATGGAGCAAATTACCAACCTTATATGAAGATCAGCAAGCCACAACAGTTTAGGTAGAATAATACTGAAGTTATCACAGGGTGGAAAAGTAGATTTTGGGATTTCTGGAACGGGGGTTCAGGGGGCAAGATGGAGGGATCTGGACGTGTCCAGCCTTTCTTCTTCCTCTTCTTGGCCTCCATCTTCTGCTGTGATGTTGGCCCTTTTAGATTGGTCTAGAGTAGAAGCTCACTGTCTAACATAGGTGATGGGTATTGGAAACTAATTGTAAAAATTGTACATGTAGTTTATAGTATAAAGACATAACAGCACCCCAGGGGCAGGCAGAGTGCCTGGAACTGTCCTGCTGGATGGACCTCGGCTGGGCAGGAGAAATTTTTTTATAGATAAGATAAAATAAACAACCTGAGACTGAGAACTGAAGAGCTCTGACTCATTCTTCAAGCACTTGGGCTGGGAAAAGAAACTTTTTACATTCTCAGGGTCACAATGACCTAAAGATCCCAAGTGATAACAAAGTAGAAAAGAATTGTTTTGGAAATTCAACATTTTTTAATTAAAAAAAAAAGAAGGAAAAAACCCCCCTAAATCAGGAGTAATTATAAAAATCTTTGTTCTCTTTTCTGTTCCCTCCATCCCTGGCATTTATCTGCCTGACAGGAGAGGGGAAATCAGATAAGCTCTCATTGCTCAGGGCATGGGTGATGTGCCACACACAGCCCTATCGGCACCAGAAAGCTGTGACAGGGCTCTGGGGTGCTGGAGCTGCCTCTCCTGCCAGTCCTGGGGCCAGGCTCCCCTGGGGACACCACAGCTCTGGGAGGTGTCACTGGTGCTCAACACCAGCCCTTGTGCCAGCTGCCATCCTCACAGCTGGCTGGGGAGGCGACTGTCACCGGCACAGCTGGCTCTCTCCAACAAGAAATAGGTGCTCAGGTATCAGCAGAGAGAAAAATGAAAGGGATTTGTGCAGGAGCTGAGGAATGTCGTGCACAAACCAGCCCAGGTTAGGTTGAGAGGGCTCAGTGGAGAGTCTGGAAGGGGCAGTGTGGGAAGGTGGGCACCAGGTGTGAGGACCATCATCATAAGCCTGGTGAGATACAGCTGCAGCAGAGGAAAGTGAAAAGCAGTGCAGGGATAAATGGTGGCATGGGAAGGGAAAAATTAAGGAGAGTCAGGGTTTAGTTGCATTTGCCTATCCTTCTATGGAGTCACACACATTCATACTTACAAATATCCATGTGTGTGTGTGTACAAACACATGCCTGCACCTTTTAATCAGAGACAGACTCTGTCCTTCTTAACACTGATATCATACTTGCAAATAACAAAGCATCAGAGGACTTCTTGGCCCACCACTTCATTATTATCCATCTTTCTCCTTTGAAGTCAGCTCATAATCTAAGATTTTTAGACTTGGCCAAATCTTTCTCCATTTTTCACTAGACTTTCAGAGCTGGGGATGTAGATGTCTGGTGTCCCAATAACAGGATACAAAGGAAGGATGCTATGAGAGGATTCTGAGGTCTCCTCCAGGACTTATCCTTATTTTTCTTGACCATACACTATTGTGTGTAAGCCCTGGCTCTTGGTTTGCCACAAGGGAGGGCAGCTCTCAGAGGTTCTGGATTGGATACTTCTAAGGATGATGTAAAAGCTCCTTCTGAAAAAGGGAAAAGCAGCATCAAAAACACTGAGCAAGCTGCTGTCTGTTGGAGAGATGATGCTGGAAATAGTGTGACTGGAGAGGAGAGGCTGGAAAGGAACCTCCTGGAGCCTTTTTCTGGTCTTTGAACCTCATTTTAAGCAGTGATGTGGCACTGAAGGCTGGCCCAGCCTTACCATCCTAGCTGCTTGCCCATTCCTAAGGGAGACAGATGGCAGCCTGGCCTGGGATAATAATCTGTTTCTACTTGGGAAAATATAGAAGAGACTAACAATGAGAAGAGGAAATGCAATTTTGAAAGTCACCTTGAAGGTTGCCTCCCATACAGAAATTTTTCTTAATAGTGTTTTCTTTGAAAGACATTTTACAGCTTCCAGAAACTTTGTACAGCTTTTCACTTCTAACCAGCTTAATTCTTTGTAAATTCACAAGTTCATTTTATTTGTTTACATGATTGTTTATTTTTTATTTCTTACTTTGAATGTTGAACTGAATTATTTCTTTCAACTCAAAAAACTGAGGATCAATTTGCAAATTCAGTTTGTGCTTTACAGAGAATTAAAGAAACGAATAAGCTTTTTTCTGTGCTGTAAATGTTCCCAACCATCCCTGTTCATGAATGGCAATATAGCACACTATACTCTTAACACAGAAAGAAAATATCAGAGGAAATTTCAGCCTCAAGAACACAGACTAAGAGAGCTTCTGCCCCAATTGCTGTCTCAGTGTCTGTTTCACATTTTATTTCTACAAGAGATTTCTACAAGAAATCTCAACCTTACAAGTGTCACCTCTGAGAATTAGGTTTTGACTGCTGCAGAAGTAGATAGGTAATGCTACAGGGCATCATTCAAAGCTGCCTCCCTTTTCACAAACTTATAGCAAATGGAAACAGTGTAAACAGTTCTAGAATTTTTATTTATTTACTTTGTAGTTAATAAGAGCTTGGAATGTGTAATGCCTTTCTTTTTTCCCATCCTTCTGTTAGTAGATAAAGCACACAGAAATTGTAACCAGACCTAGAGCAAATGCTCAGGGAATCTGACTTCAAGCAGGAATGGGAGAGTTATTTCTAAATTTGCTTCACCTTTAAATTTAACAGCAATAGCAGCTATGTATTACCCACCTTCATGTTCTACTTTGGTGTGTTATTAGTTAAGGACTGTCCCTGAAGGTTCAGTCATTTCAAGGAGCTCACTGAAGGAGAATGGCAGAGGAGAAGTGAGCTTGTTCTGCTAGTCTGGATGGAAGCAGTCTTAGTTATTGCTACTCTTTTGTGGGAAATACTTCCTAAATCTTTTTGAGGGCTCAGAACGGTACAACAAAATGCTGGAATAGAAATATGTCAAATATTAAATACTCTGCTTGTTACTAGAGAACTCTCATCCTGACTCCTCAGTATGGCCACTAAGTGTCCTCTTCCTAACTGCTTAAAATCAAAATGAATTCCATACAGGATCATTCTTAGGGCCTTTTTATAAAGGAGCAGCTTGGAAAGAGCTGGGTTCAGTTTTGCAGTGAGAAAATCAAGGCTGCTCTCACCCTTGGGCTCATGCTAAGCTCAGCAAACAGGATGGGCTCTGCAGTTCTGGTGGTAGATCATGAGAAAAGCAGCAGCCTCAGGACAGGGATGCTGTGATATGTCCATCTGCAAGATACAAATCTATGAGTCCATAGGTATGAAAGTATGGCCAGAGGGTGGTGTGAAGTCCTCCCTCAGTAAAAGTGGACCAAACATCACCAGCATTCACTGCTGCTCTTGGGCAGGCTGAGGTGCTGCTGGGGGGACAATTCCTGCATCACACTCCTCACCCAGGAAGAGCAAGAGCAAACCTGTGCTGTTGGAGGGCTGTCTCTAGTCAGTGCAGAGCTCTGTGCTGCTGCTTGTGCTGGTTCCTCTCTGCAGCTAGCTGTGTGAGCCCCCCCCAGAGGATGGAGAGAAGAGCCACAGCACATTAATCTGTTTTGAAGTATCTGTTATACGTCTCGGGCCCTTGATCCTCTGACTGGAAATAAAAGGCTAAGAGGAATTTGCAAAAAGGAAGCATTTTCTGTCCCAGAAGCCTTTTTCATGCTTAAAAATTGCTGTTTGAGAACAGAAAGGCCATTGTAAGCAGAACAAGCCAAGAGGGTGAGGTGCCAGTCACAACACTATGTGTCTTTGCTCAAACTTACAGTAAAATATAAATTGAAGTCTTGACTCTTTCAGATGGATTTTCTCCTTGTCAAAAAAAGAAACAGTCCTCCAGATTTACAGCTAAGCCTGGAGCACCAGTCCCAAGGCATAAATGGCAGTTTTGCATCCTTCAAAACAGTTCAGCTGATTGCTGCTATGAAAAAACAACAAATTGAAATGTAGTTAATTAAGCCCCTAATTTTTTTTTCTTTGTCCCCTCACCATATACATTCTTTCTCAAATTTTCCATTATCTCACTACATTACCTCTAACATTTAATCTCCTTATTATGAAGAAAGCAGAAAATAGACCAGAAAATAACCTCCCCCTGCTCCACCCCTTCACAATCTCCTAATAAACAAGACAGGGAAAGTTATCTCTGACAATTAGAGCCTGTAATGTAGTGGATGGTTAAAATATGTACATGACATCACTCTTTTAGCCTTCATTTATTAGTTCTTCTATTTGATGTGCTGCAAAATAAGCTGCTTAGCTTGGAGAATAAACAAGCAGTTAAATTTATTGATAGAAGACAAAATGCTGCCATTTTTGAACTCTCCCCTTTGTTACATGGTTTAAATGAGGACATCAGTTGTCAGAAAAACAAGATCTGCAGATGATTCTTTTATTAATGGAGCTATTTAAAAGCATGAATCGTGTATACATTGTCATTGATATCACACATTTTTCATATTCTGATAGATCTTCCTTTGGAAAGATCTTACTTATTGTTTTGCAGCTCCTTTCTCTTCTCTTTAAAAGAAATTTTCCAAAGCAATTACATTACATTCACATGGCTTTATATAACTTTTGAGTAATGTTTTGCTAATGGCATCAGGATGTTCCTGTTTGAACGTTTACTGGAGTTGCTTCTCAGTTATTATGAACTAACCACTAATTATCATCATCTTTATTTCTTTAACTGAATTTCTCCCTTATAAAACCACAAAGTGAAATTTTGGGCTCAGTGAACTCAGGTTTTCATCTGAGGGGATTTGGATCTAGCTGAAGTCAGTCAAGATTTTCCATTCATATGGTTGAAGCCACCGTCAATATAGAAGAGCTTAGGCTAAGGAGATTCATTTGCTATTCATAGAATCAGAGAATATCCCGAGTGGGAAGGGACTCACAAGGATCATCAAAGTCCAACTCCTATTAAAATCTAGGGTTTCTTCCAGTACATATGAGAAATCAAACTATGAGAAGAAATGCCTGGCAAGAAGTCTGTTTGTTTAGGATGGTCGTGTTCACTGCATAGGGTACAGAACATGAAGCTGTTTATTTTGAATTTACATTTCCAGAAATTATCTGCTTATGTTGCTGGCATAATCCTAATTTTTCAAGTAGTTGTTCAGCAAAGCCTCTAAAGACACTTTACTTCTTTCAAAATGCTCTCCTCTAATTCCAACATGGAGTTCCTCCACACGTGTTTGAAAGACACCCAGGAGAGTTTTCGCAGCTGCTGTCCATGTTGCAGCCTCTTCTGGGTGAATTTTGTTTCATCAGCATGGCTGGCCTCACAAGCACAGTGGTCACTTAAAAATTAAACAGATCACATGATGGGAACACTAAGAATTGCTCCTGTTGGGCATTTATTGACTGTACTCAGTTAAAGTAATTAAACAATAGATTTCAATGTTCTAGAAAGTGCAGGTAGCATGTACTGAAATGGAGAAATATTTCAACTTTAAAGTATCGCAAGTCCTTAATGTTTTCACTTTCTTCTACTGAGTTTAATTTTAATCTTTGCTCCTTTGATTCATAAAGGTGAATGCCAATGTACTGACAGGCAATTTCTCTTGTTCTTACTACAGATGGTTTACAAGCCCAACTACTGTAAATGCTTTTTATAGTGCATCTACCAACCAGATCCGTGAGTATCTTCCTTCTGAGCCTCCTTATAAAGTGCTTGTTTGGGAATGTATTTATCAAGCTTCAGATAACAGCTGTACCTGTTGTGTTGTTTGTAACTGAAAATTAAAAGTTCAAACCTGGTAATTCAGCTGTGACACTTAAGTGAGTGTGTGTGTGTGTGTGTGTCTGTGTCTGTGTCTGTGTGTCTGTGTGTGTCTGTGTTTGTACTCTGTCCATTGTGAATGATAGCTTAAATCACTTTTATTAAAGCCTAATGTTTCTATCTTTTGGTTTTTTGTAGCAAAAATGTGTACACACATCTCCATAAATACACAGTGATAGCAGTTCTGTCCTCTAGTATTGACAGATATGTAACAATAAATGTGACTAGAGAAGACTGTGATGTAGACCAGAAAACATAAGAAGATATTGTGATATATACCAGAAAACATAAGAGAGTATATCCAGTGGATTTGTTCAATACCTTCAAGGACAAGGAGTGGTATCTGTAGTTAACTGAAAATTCTTACCTGTATGTGCAGTACTACCTGTCTGATTCTAATTTTTGTTACTGGTTGGTTTTAGACAGCATTTATTCTAGTGTGGAAACAAATAAGGTGAAAGAGTTGAGTTTCTCAGTTATGTGTAATGACTTTGGATGTTCATTCCTGTTTGCTTTAATGGGGTTTGAATTGAAATTTTCTAACAGGCTTTAAAATTCTATAGCAGGCTTTAAAATTCTATACCAGTCTGCATGCAACAGTTTTACCTTCACCCTGGCTATTAGCTTTGCATGTTAAATCAGCCTTCTTTTTCTGAGCTGTTAGGGCCTGGAAAGTGGCTGCCCCCACTTCTGTGGTCTCAGTCCCCAGAGTCAGGACATCAAAAATTGCTGAGTGATTCCCCTTTTTTCTCCTGAATCTCTTTTGGTCGCAGAGAGAAAGGCACAAAGTTAATTATCACACTGAAGAAGGTACAGCAGAGGACAGGCAATTTGAGTCTGCTGGTATTTGCTTCTACCAATTTCTGTAAACAGTTTTGCCTTCAAACCACTCACATAAATTTTTTTGTGTCTAAGTGATCTCATTTGTAAAGCACGTATAATAATTAGGAAGTTCTTTTTATTAAAATTAGTGCTAGATTTAGATAGTTCTGTCTTAATTAGAGGGCTTCCATCATTAGGCAGTCACATTTTTGTTGATCATCTGAGGGAGCGTTGGCTGAGGTGGTCACAGCTCTGAGGTACCCCTGAAGCATTACAGCTGCTGTTCCTTCAGCCACCACTGCTGCTAGGAAGGTTTTGTGTGAGTGGAGAGGAAGCCTGCTCAGAGAAAAACAAGAGCCATTGCTGTTATACCTTCTTTATTATTGGGTCCTTTCAAATTTGAGCAGTGCTCAGCTGTCCCAGCCTCTCTGCCATGGCACATTAGAGAAAACTGTGATGAGAGGCTGGAGCCACTGAACATTTCACACTTGCTGTGTCTGACAGAGTCAGGAAGCAAAAAAGAGGCAGTTGTCAAACATAACCCATCAGCCATGGGTGTAGAGGTGATTACATTTTCCATATCATAACTGCTGAACTTCTCATTCTGCTGGCAAGTGACCTGGAAGTTTGGACAGTGCCACTCCCTCTCAGTCCTTTTAGGACTGTTTCAAAGAGGAAAAGGGTTTAGGTGGCTCTTTCTGAACAAAATCGTCTCGTACCTGAGAGAGAGGTAAAAAATGTACTCATGCCCCAAAAATAATGTGCAACAGGAGGGAGGATTCAGAGAAAGACACAGTGCTGTCTGCCACTGCTAGCTGCTGTGTTTTTATGGGGCAAGAGGCCCTGGGTGATGTGGGAGGAACATTCTCTGGTAGAAGTTGCTGATAAACATTTGACACATCACTACTGATTTCCCATTGATGCTGGGGGGGAAGAACTGCTACCTTACTGTTTTGCAGCTGTGTTTTCAGAAGTAATCTGTACAAAGTTCTGGCGCTGCTCGCATGCCACAAGAACTGTGGCATTTTTAAAGGCTTAGTTAAATAACAGAAAAAAAGTTTCAGAAACCAGAATCATTTGAGAATAAGAATTAAGCTTGAATTCTAGCAAGTTAGATATAAAATTGTGATACAGCAAGCCCAGAAATATTTCATGGACCAAATTTCTAGGAGTATAAGAAATAATACTGAAACCTATTTGTCAAATTCACTGAGAGAGGAGAGTCTCTAAGGCATAAAAATAAGATAACTCTTTGCATTGAAAGAGTTTGGGAAGTTCTATTTCTGGAGCTTTTACTTGTGAGAGGTTTGTCCCAGAAATAATTTAAAATTTAGTGTCAATAGAAGGGACTTTAGAAGAAATTCATACAAGGAACTATGACAAATATAAGGACTAGATAATATTCTCACAGGTATACAGTACAGAAAGAATAGGTGTGATAAGTATCAAATCCTATTTTTCAAAAGACAGTCAGAGGGATCTGCATAACAAGTTATTTTAGCCTTTATATGAAGGAATCTGGTTGTGACCACAACATGATTGGATAGAGAATGAATAAGCATATGATATAAGAGTGAAGAGTGAATCTGAGATGTTTTTTGCTTTTTCTTTTAGAAAAAAATCATGCTTTCTTAATCTACTAGACATTTTTTTTTTAATTCAGAAAGCAAGTAAGTATGCTTGATACGAACATATGCTTTTTTCCATTGAACAGTATTGATGAGCTTCTTTCCCAATACTAATAACTGAAAGTTGTCATGGGATAAGAAAGAAGGTCCTTTCATAAATTAATGAATTATTAAAATAAGAAAAGGAGGTAGGAACCAATTACTTGTTGGCAAATTGTTGACTTGTTGTGAGGGTCTGTGCTACTCACTGCATTAGCAGATGAACTGAAAAGAGTTGTGTTGTGAACACAGAACACAACATCTCTTGTGTTCTGTTCTTTACAAAAGAACAGAGGGATATAAACCAGTCCAGGAGGACAGTTCCCTCTGCTTCTGGCTGCTGGAAGGTAGGAATGTGTGCTACCAGAAGAATTACCTCACAGGTAGTTGCCTGAAACTCTTTACCTTCACATCTACAACTGATCACTCCTGTAAATGAGTGAATGGATCAGATATCCTCTTCACTATCTGCTTGAGTGCCCCTGCTCTTCAGTGAGAAAACTGGACTTTATTGTCTTCAACACCCATCCATTTTTGCTCTTTATAAGTGAGTTTACTAAGAAGAATTTGAGAAATTAAAATTTTAAAATGTGTAATAGGATTTGATTATGGAAAGTAGTTTCTATGTGAACTGGAAAATCCCCGCTTCCAAAATTTGATTCTAAAAATTAGGACCATTCGTTTGGAAATGGAAATGTACTCTGTGAAAATATCAACAAAACAACAGTAACTCCAAACTTGATTAGTCACTGGAGGCTTCTTGAAAAAGTTTAGAGAAAAAAAAATTTCAGTTCCTTGACCCATTGATTTTGAAAAGGAGCAACCATCAGGTGCCTGCACAAGGGAAGGGGAATGTGGATGTCCTGAGCACTTCTGAGCTTTAGGCAGCTGCTTTTGCCTTCTGTGTTCAGAGCACAGGGATGTCACTGACACTCCTGATGGAAGGATCACAAATTCTTCTTCCTCTGCAATCTGTATCACTGACATAAATATTGGAATATCCATGAAAAGTCCATGTGATCTTCATATACAGGCAGGCTGTTAGTGTTTTTAACTCGACTACTCAGTTACTTGGAAAAAAGGTCTTACTTCACTAAAAGAGAAAATGAACAGAGAATAGAAACTGGGTGATTTAAAAAAATAGTAGATTTGGGAGAATTTAGCAAATCTTGCATATCAGTAGATGTACCAAATTTTGCTGTCTTTTAGTGCAAACACTTTTGCATTTGGTGTTGCTTTGTTTGATTTTCATTGCTAAACTACTGATAGTTTGAATGCCCAATGATTCTATTAATATTTCCAAAGGAGAAATAAGTAGCTGCATCAAGGTGAGATGTGCTACAAAGAGCAGAGTTAAAAAATATTTCACATATAATTTACCTTAATATTATACAGCTTCTGATGTTCTCTGTATGTGAGTTTCATTTATTTATTTCCTCTTTTTCCATAATTCAAAGTGTCTTAGAGGAACCACTATGCATGTTTATAATGGTTGATAATTATTTTTTAATCCTAGTTTGGATAATTTTTCAATTTTCTGTGCATTTGCTCGTCAATTTCCCCTTTAATTATAAGTACTTAACAAGGACAACAGGTATGTGTCATTGCCTTTAGAGTCTCAAAATGTATCTAAGTGCACTTCATATCATCTAAGTAGCATGAATACTATCTTTTTAATTATCATAATTGGAACACCAAAAACAATTTCTAAAGGATTAGTTTATTTTAATGCACTCTAAAGCAGTCAACAAATATGTGCTGAAAATAGACACAAGTGATGATCAAAGGGTGCTAGCATACTTCTGTTCAAGAAAAGGTTTTATTTCATTATAGCACTAAAATATTAGCCTTTGAATATGTTAAGGATAAAAGCAACTATTCATCAGACATTTGGTGTGTTTTGGATTTTTTTTAAAGTGTAAATATGTATGCCTCTAGAATATATAAAAATAGTCACACTTGTGGGATGTGAACAGTAATGAAAGGGAGATTTACAGTGAACTGAGGCAAATATAAGCAATGCACTCATGACGTGTAAACTTGAATAGATGTACTGGATAATTAATGTTGATATTATCTCTATAAGTTTATATCCATGCTCCTTCTAAGTCATTTGTGCTGTTACTACAGTTCTCTAGTGAAAGTCAAGAGGCCTCTTTAGAGAGAGGCCTCAATACATGTTACCGGAGGCAGATATGATCTACAACAGAATTTAAAAATTGCATTCAAATTAGCATCCACAGAGAAAACCACAGATGAGGGCTCATATTAGCCAATAAGGCTCATCTTTTCAGGAAGCATCATGCAGATATTAACGCTGATGCTGGGAACTGCAAGGGAGAACTCTCATCTTGCCAGGAGCCAGGGAAGTGCTGGCAAGCAGCACCTGGTGCCATGGCCAGGGCAGGATGAGGGGAATGTGCATGGGGCATTTTCTCTTCCCTTAAGAACTGGGCTATTTGGAAGGTTATTGATGAAGTAGTTTCAAGTGTGCCATTAGTTTCCTGGAGGTTAATGAACTTAAGAGATTTGGACTGAACACTTTCTGAGCCCTGTTATTAAGTAAGCTTTAAGTGTCTTAAGTGAGCCCTCATTTTCAATTTTCCTGAATTACTAAAGACCACTATTCTCTTTAATTTAACCATGGTGCATGATCCTTACCTCCATTCTTTAGTTTTTCTTCCTAAAATTCCTATCTATGAATGTATAAAATAGAAGAATTTGTTCTTTGTTCTTCTCCCCCTAGCCCCCATTCCCTCACCCTGGGGAATCCTTTGAGGATTTTTCCTCATAAAATAAAGATTTAAATTTCTTGTAAAACAGATGTTTTCACATTTCCTACTCCCTTAGCAGACAGTATTCCTTGGCACCTCACAAACCACGTCATGTTTCTCCTCATGTTGCCCTACTGAGGTTGGTAAACACCAGGTTCTCTCTTTTTCATGAGTAGAAAAAAGTCTCTTGTCAGGTGAGGGAGAAATTGAGCCAAGAATTGAAGCAGAGGCTACAGAGTCCTCTGCTTTCAAAGACCATTACTCTCATTACAGAGCACAAGCCCTTGGGCTCTGACAGGGTGCACCTACAAACTCACAGCATCATTATGAGGCCACTCTTGGTAATCTTTGAAAGGTTATGGTGACTGGGGGAGGTTCCTGAGGACTGGAAGAAAGCAAATGTCACTCTTATCTTCAAGAAGGAAGATCCAGGGAATTACAAGCTGGCCAGGCTCACAATGATCCCTGTGTACATGATAACGTAAATCCTGGAAACAGTTTCTCTGGCCAGCTTTCTACATTGAGATTACTAGCTCAGTGGAGGAGGAGAGAGATGTGAAAATGATTTATTGTTTAGAAAGAACTTCAGCACTGCATTCCTTAACATGGTCAAATACCAACTGCTGAAGAATCAGCCACTTGAGAGGATGGTCAGGTGCACTGAAAACTCCTTGAACTGCTGGGCTTGAAGGGCTGTGATCAGAGCAGCTGGTCCCTAGTATGGTGGGATCAGCAGCACAAAGTTCATCTTGAGGATGATGCAGCCCAGCTGTCCCACCTTGCCACCAGTAAGATGCATGGATGCAGGGTGCCAGTGCTGTTCTGTGACAGCCTGAGCTCAGCTGTCCACAGAGCAGTGCTCTTGTGACACGTGACACCAGTGCCCATCTCAGAATGGAGCTGCAGCCCAGTGGCATTGCTCCAAATTTAGGCAGGTTTTAAGAAAGTAGTCAAAGCACATTCTGCAAGTCCAGGTCTTGATGGCAGATGGGTTTGTGTGGGGTCTGTAATAAGATAACACAGTTTTCTTCCTGTGTGCTGCTGGTGAGTAATGGCCTTGGTATAGACTCTGGGCCTGCATTTGTAATCTAGTGTATAAAGAGAGAGACTGTCAGCCTGTATCTCTCTTCTGGGGCTGTGTAGAGGGAGAAAGCTTTAAAACATGTATAACACAGGCTAAATTTGTGGCCAAGTGTTAGCTCAAAATACATTCCCACTGCCTGTATCTATTCCTTAAGATGTGAAATTCCCTGAAGTCTGTCTGTCTTACTCCTTCAGATCTGTCCATTGCCTGCTTGAAATCCAGTGGCATAGAAATAATCCCATTAGTATTTATTGCATCTGGAGCCTACCATGAGCTCTCTGAGTTTTTTCATTAATTCTTCTGGGTGCAATATGCCAAGCAAAAAAAAAAAAACAAGCTTCACAGGGGAATTGCCTAAATCAAGGGACTCAAATCAGCACAAAATAAGAAACTCTCTGGTGATCAATCTCATGTTACAATTTTAAGGATATTCTGGGTATAAGACATTGTTATCCTTGATCCTCCCAACAATGATGTAGTTGTTGCTTGCCTGAAGGAGATACTGCATAAAAAGTGTTGTCAGCTCTCAGTGTGTTCCTTCCCATGTCGGAATAGTGGACAAGCACCCTCAGTGCTGCTGACCTCTGGAGCATGGGACCCACTTGCTTTTCTAGCTCTCCAAGAATCACTTTCAACAAACAAACAAACAAACAAAACCAACAAAACCACAAAAGCATGTACCCTCCAAATGAAACAGAACAATTCCTACTGGTGATAATGTATTCCAGTTTCCTGAAATGTGTCGTACAATCTACTGGCCTCTCACTCTGCTTTGGCCTGAAAATATTTCCTGAGCTTCCTTTAGTGCAAACTATAGAGGTGTTTTCACCCATGTCCAGAAGCAGAAACAACTCCTTCAACCAGTACTTTGCTCAGTGATGTCTAACCTAAAATGGATCCTGACTGAGTAAAATAATTACCAACCTGTTGTACAGAGCAGCACTGGAGCTTCCTACCATCCATGCACATTGACTTGTTCAGTGAAACTATCTCATGGCTTAACTCACAGCTGACTGTGTTTCAAAAATGCTCTATGAAGACACATTTAGTGCAGCTGGATAAGCCTGAGTGAAGGTTTGCACCTAATTTGCTGTAAATAATGCATATTACCTCTACTGCAGACAAGTGCAAACTCACTTCAAGTTTATACCTGGAAAAATTGATTGCAGCTCCTTAAAAGGTCTGGATAGCCTCTTGGTGCAGTAACAGGCTCCCAGGACTGTGTGAACATTAAATATGATTTGTGGGTGACTGTGCTGCCTTGGTTCATACTGCCTTCAGTGTGGGCTCATTTGTTCATTCTGGCCACAGTTCCTCTCCTCTGCTGCTGTGGGGATAGGATCATTTAGAGTTAGCAGAACCTAAGCTTTCCAAAACCTTTTCTGAATTTCAGAGTTTGGAGGGAACCAGTTCAAACTAGATTTTCAGCTCTGAACACAGCTCTTAAAGCCTAACAAGCAATTTTCATCAGGTTGTATGTGTGTACCATTGCTGCTTAAAATGTTGAAAACATGCATGATAAGTAATCCTCTCAGTGCACTGGGAGGCAAGGACAGTTAGATCAGTAAAACTTTGTCCTTGACATTGGTAAAATTGTGGTTTTCAGTGCTGGAAAAGAAAATTATATGCTTGAAACAATAAAACAACATCTGGAGAAGTAAGAAAAAAAATAAACCAGGCAACACTCAGAAAATTTTGTAGCCCACACTTTTTATAAGCTAATTGCGGATAGGGAATGATGGCAGCCATGGAGGAGCAGCAGAAAAAAGCAGTGGGCAGGCCAGGAGGACATGCCTTGTGCCACATCACTTGGCATGAATTACACTCAGCATCCTGGGTTTGTTTTGGGGATTTTTTTTCATTTGAAGGTAAGTTTTTAAAGACCTTGTAAGGAAAAGACAAAGATCTTGCCTGACAACTTATCTCAGATATAAAGAAATCCATAACCAAACTATCAACCAAAAACTGAATAGGGTTAGAATCAAATGAATATGGTTTCTGTATTGTTCTGGGTGTTCAGGTGATTTCTTGAAGAGGGACCCACAGGGAAATGAAGAATTCCTGGGAAAACAAGTGAATCACTTGAGGAAATGTTCTTCCTTAACAAGGCGATGACTATGTTGTATGTATGACCTTCTAAGCAGGTGCTCTATAGATGAGAATTTGTGACCCAAGACAGTAAATTCCACATTTGGGCCTGGAAGGATGGCACCTTTCACTATCATGTAAGAACTTTGACCATGGGTATATGTTTTATTTAGCAATTATTTGGGCTGTTAAACTTTTACCATGTGCAGTTCCACTGTCTTTAGTATCCTGGCACTAAAACGTCCCCCTGGAATTAAAAATAAACCTGTGACTTTGAATTTGAGGAACAATTTTGTTTCCTTTGTGAAACATCAGTAGCTCATCACTCATCAGAGTGTCTCCATTGCTCTTTTTTTGGCAGCTGGTTAGTTGCCAGAACCAGAAGCAGCCAGGTAATATCTGTCACTAGACTGACCCTACAGCCTTAATAATCTACAGATTTCCCTTACAAAAGTGCCTAAGTATGTTCATATACCTCTGGTTTTCATAGACTAAATAGAATCAGGCTTACATTTTATCACTTTCACATTTCTTGCTTCACTGAAGCCTCACTAAGGTAACAGTATTTTAATTCTTACTGCACTTTACCTATGTATTGTCTATTGATCAGTCAGCACATCTGAGGATAATCCAGGACCCTTCATAGGAAGCCTGAGGTGTGTTTTTCACAGGAACACATGCATTTACTCAGACCTGCTTGTGGCAGGATCTCTGCTGCCTCTCTGAGATCCTCTCTTGCATTCTACCACCCAGGGGAAAGATCCCCTTGAAAAACCTTCTGAAGCCAAACAAATGAGGTCATAAAATCTAAATCCTTGGGCATTGTGACAGCTATTCAGCTGGATTCAATTGACCTCACCAGATTTTTCTTTTCTTTTTTTTTTTTTTTTTTTTTCCTTTTTGTCATTGCAGGATTCCCAGCAGGAGAACTTCAAAAGCCTTTCTTTTGGGGAACAGAGTATCCTAGGTAAGTAGTGCACAAGGGAACCTCATCCACCTAGAACTGAGGAATAACAGGGAGAGATATTGCAAACACAAACAGACAAAGAAGAGGGAGAAAAGAAGAAGGCTGTGGTGCTGAAGGCAACTGAAAGGCAGCCCCTAGGAAATCTGTGTTGTCTTGCTGTAGGGCAAACTTGGTCCTTGGGTTGTGTGTTCTCTCCTGCTGGATCCTGCTGTTGCCTCTGGAAGGGCTGACTTTGAGAAGTGCTGCTTTGTGTGATATTTTCTTACCCTTGGATGTGTTGCTATTGTCTTAAACTGATGACTGATTTCTCACAGGAATTGCTAATTAAGTGCACCCAAGTGCAAGTGTTTCAATGCTACAGCATGCAGATGCAGCAGTGTGCACATGGCAGGTATTAAAAGGAATTGTAAATCAGATAACTAACACTTCCTGAACAGAAGTGAATACCCTGAGAAGCCAATTATTATCAGTGTATTGTTCACTTTCTGCTAATATCTAAGATTAGCAGTGGGCTCTTGCCTGTGCCTGTTGGGGGGCATGAGAATATCTTCATGTGCATAAGGGATTGCCTGAGCAGGCCCATGTACCAGTGAGGCTGAGGAAGGGTAATTATAGGTCACATACATTAAATTTTGAAAAATCACTGCTTTTTTTGCAGTTCAATAGCTTTCTATTTTAGGGTAGGATAGGACCATGAAAAATTTCTGGTGGCAGTTTCTGAAAGTTATTTTGCAGTTATATAAAGCCAGTTTCTGGTGAAACATATCCCTAATAAATCATTGTTTAAAAAAATCAAACTTTTCGAACATTTTGTGTTTGCCATCATCCAATCTGGATTGTGTCCTTGCAAACAGGAAATTTGGCAATATATGTAGCAAGACACGTTCAATTTATGAACTAATTAATTTGTATTCAAAGAGAATTCTTGTGGGCCAGGTGACTTTGTAAGTGGTAATTGGGGATAGAAGAAAGTCCTTTCTTGTTAAGGTGAACTTATTTTCTGTTGTAGTTATTGAAGACCAGCTTCGCTTTCTGATTTCTCTGTATTCTGACCTTCTGCCATAGTGATAAAACTGTGGTTCTTTCAAAGTATTGTATTTTGCTCATTCCTCTTCCTTAAAGGTTACCTTAGCTTAAATTGGTTTTGCTTGAGTACATATCAAAATGTAATTTAGTAAACAAATGTAGCTGGTTTATATCAGACAACACATTGCTTTTGTCCTTGAAATATTCTGGATGTTTTCTGTCCGCTTAGAAGAAACAGTACATGGCAGTGGAGCAGATAAACTACCAAAAAGTCACCAGTGTCTGCTGAAAAACTAATTTAGCAAATATTTAACATTTAGTGGCGTTTAATGTCCTGTTCCAGCACAACCACCAAAACCCAGTTACATCTATTTGCAGAAAGCAAAGCTTACTTATCACTTTTACATCTCAGTGCATTAAATAAAATAACACTCAAATGCCACCATTCACAATTGTGAGTCTCTAGTGCCATATATATTGAAATACAGACTTCAAACTACCTGAAGCTTCCTTTCAGTTCTGAGCCTCCCCAGTCCTAGAAGAGTCCCCTTTAATTTGGTGTCTGCTGGGCTGCACCTTATCCTTCCATCTCTGCCCTACTGTGCCCAAAAATGAAAAGCATGAACAGAACTGGCAAAATTCCTGGAAGAAATGTTGTTGAGCTGGACAAAATGCTGCATTGGGGTTCACAGATTCAAAGGCCAAAATTCACTGCAACCTTAACCCCATCTTTTGGAGCCAAGGAAAGCTCCAAGGAGCCAGACTGGCAGAACACCAGCCTGTTCTTTGTCCCTGCCCCTCATGGTGACAAAGAACCTTAGAGGAAAAATAAGATGTATTTAGTAATAGGGCTTGTTTCTTCTAGATCTCTTTACATGCTTTGTGCCATTATTTTTATACTTCTCCAGCTGCAAAAGATCCTGTATAACCCCTTACTTCAGATATGGAAAACAAGTCTTACATAGTGCATTTATTAGGGGTAATTATCACTGTGTGCTACACAAGATTACAAACTTGTCACACAAAAGGATGATATTTCCATTGCTTAAACATATAATTTTAACCTGCATGTTTTGGAGATGGTTTGTAACAGTAGTTGGGCTAAAAAGCAGTAGGGGAGATTTTAACACAAGCAAAGTACCATTCAGGAAAGAAAAAAACAAAGTGAAGGATTTTCATGGGAGCAGAGGGAATTAAATGATATAATAGTTTTTGGGCATGACAGAGATGAGCAATTAGTGTACTATGGATCATTAGGTGAAATAATGTTATTTCAAAACCCTCTGCCTTTCTTCTATTTCAATAAAATGTCTTAGAAATACTATAAGCTACTTTGAAGTATAGCATCTCAATAACTGAAATGATTAAAATCACAAAAAGTGGCTCCACAAATGAAAGATACATTGAGTAAATCACCTATCCCATGATACCCACTGCTTTTGGTGTAATAAAGCCCTAAGCTTTTCCCTCTTTCATCCCTATTTCTCCTAAAAGCATGCTTATTGGGATATAATAAAGAAGATATAATTAATTGTCAGTCAGGAATACAAAGTATTTCTTTTTACTCTGTTTCCCAGGTGCCTTAGATCTGACTGTGTATCACATCCTCTTCCAGGGCAGGTGCAAGGGAATTATATGACCTTTCTTTTTAGAACTGAATGGAGATCTGTTAATGCTTTACAGAAGATAGTTTTTGTTTCAGAGTAGGTACAGCTGTAACTTTGTCCTGTTCCCACTGAGAACATTCAGAATTCAGTCAGCTGAAGGAGAGTGGAGCCCATATGATGCTTGGTTGGAAGAGTGAACCATCACAACGCTTTCAAAGTTTTAGGTTAAATGTTACTTTTAAACAAGAGCTTAACATTAAGACTTTCAACATCTTTAAGTCAAAATTGTGTAGGTCTGAATTTTAGACACATATCCTGTGCCTTCTCAGCCTGTTTTTAAATCAATAATGATCTTACCTGATGTCTTTTGTCCTTTAATGTTCATGACTGTGAACACTTTCTGAGGAAACTGCTTCTTTGTGTTCCAGGTCATTAAGTTATGGTGCCATAGGAGTGATTGTTGGCCATGAGTTTACTCATGGATTTGATAGCAATGGTGAGTATTTGACTGCACTTTGATAACTTTTTTATTTACAGAGTTGACAGATTAGAAAGCTGACTTGTACATGCTGTAGCATTTATATTGTTTTGGTTTTTTTAATGGTGCTGAGTTGTGTGAAAAAATGATAAAATTGTATTTATTGGATTTATTTACATGGAATCTTGCTTGTCTGAATTGGATTTTATTTGGTAAAAGAAATGTCACAAGTTTGATTCTTTATATTTGTCTTAAATGAAAACTAAAGCAACAACAGATTCTGAAAGTCCTAACAGGGGGAGGGGAGAGTGGGAAGGACAAAGGGATAATTTCTGATTGATAAAAATTACAAAGGAAACCTTTCATTTCAGGTTTGACATTTTTAAAAAGATAATTGCAAAAGTTTTAAAATACAATACTGGAACAAAAGTGGAACAGAAACGGTGTTGCAAAATATTAAAATTAAATTTAAAAAAAAAAAGAGAGATGGAAAAAAAATAGTCATAAACTGTCAATGCAATTGTCCTGACAAACTGGATGGAGTGGGGCATTGACACTATCTAGGTTTGGCTGTCTCAGCAAAGTGCTTTTAAAAATTGGGCTCCTGAGAGAAAGTTAGGGGAGAGGAGGGAGATGCAGGCAGAAAGAAACTCACCTCCTCCTCTACGAAGTAATTTTGAGTTTGCTTATGTTGTGCAATATAGAATACCTTAAAAAAAAAACAAAACCAAACAACAAACCCAAAAACCCCCACATATCCTGTTTGCACTGCTCTACAACACTTTGTGTCAGCAAACACTCCAGAATGGAGGCATTTTTCTTCATAAACTCCCACTTTGTGTAGGTGAGCACCTAATCTCCACCTTGTTTCCTGCCAGTTAGAAAGGAACGTAAAGTTTGGATTCCTTCTTGCCAAGGTCTTACCTTCCAAATACAGAATTAAATATATCTCTAGGAAATTTGTTACCTTGTGGAAATTTTAGAAGTTTTCATGGAATGGATTTGTTTCCTGATCAGGTGAATAATTAATAATAAATTAGTTATCATCACATTGTCAGAATGAAAGACATATGGTCTGAGATGAAAAATGCAATTATACTTGCAAAAAAGCTAAGTGCCTCTTATACTATGTAATTAAAAAATGTACTGTAGAATTCATTAGTTATTACTATATTTTTCTGGAAATGGAAATTGACAATAAATAGAATGCCAGCTTTTCACTGCTTATTTGAGTGGGGCCAAGATTTTGCTCACTGATCCTATCCATTCTGTACACACACTCACATGAGAACATTCCCCTCTCATTTCTGTCAAGGTGATAGATTCCTAAACTTTAAAAGCTTTTTCCTGCAAAAACATTTGTTTTCTTTCTTTCCTTTTTGAGGTCGGAAATATGACAAAAATGGAAATTTAGACCCTTGGTGGACAACTGACTCTGAAGAAAAATTTAAAGAGAAAACAAAATGCATGATTAATCAATACAACAATTACTATTGGAAGCAAGCTGGCTTACATGTATGTAAACCACCAGTGACTGAAAACAGTGGCACATGAGGAGTTTGGGTCATTGTGCTTTTTTTTTTTCCCTTTTTTTTTAAGTTCTCTTTTTATAAATCCCAATATATTAGAATATTAAACTACCAACTTCATTTCTCACAACAAATGATTTTTTGAGATGAATAATTGTGTTAAAAATTGTCTGTCAGGTTTGATTAGTCCAGTCAAATACCACTACCCACACCCTGGTGACAGGGTTAAACCATTTCTCTCCATCACATCATTTTGGAATCAGAGGAAGAGGATGAAGTCACTCAGCAGGGCTGGTCTAATTATTGTCAGCGTGTTAAATGTCTTCTGAAGATGAAGTCTGTAATGAAAACTGAGCGGTCACTCTTTTAGAAAGACTATAATAGCATGTTTTATAGATTCCTTTAACAATTCTGCCTGTTATTTATTGCAGCTATAAAATGGATGCATAAGACCCACTTTATTTCATATTCAACTCTTGCTATTTCTTCCATGTGTGCACACAGACCCCATTTGTATGTTTAATCAAGGGAATATGACAGCAGTAGCTCCTAGAAAAGGATTGAGAAAGTGCAAGGGAATTGTTTTTGTTTTGTTGTCTATCAAAGGAATGGGCTTCCCTGAAGATGTGTACGTTCATATGTGTGTTCAAAATGAGGATAGGCAGGATATGTCCCAGACCTTCAGAAATGAATAGCTGAAATTCCAGTGATGTTGTCTGGGACACGATTTTAATCTTAGTTTTCAGGATAAAACACATACTCCAGTCCCACTCAATTCTATCACCTCTACCTAAATTTTACAGATACTAGTACATCTTTGCCTTTAAACAATAGTGAGGACCCATTAAATTCTTATCAACAATTCTAGCACTTTTCCCAGGCTTGTTTGTGCTGATCTCAGAGATAACAAAGCCATATTGTGGTCCAGTCTGAAGTCCAGCAACTCAGACTTGAAATAATTCATAACAATCTAATTTGCAAATGAAAATTCTCAGGCTCATTCCTGAATATTTGTAGGGTAAAAACTGTCATTACAAAAATGCCACACAAAGAAGATCCTTAAAACCTTCCCCAAGGATGTGGCTGAGCTCTTCCATGCTCTGCCATTGGCTTGGCCATCCCCTTTAACTTTGGCACTGTCTCTTGAGATGAGGTAGGTCTGAATTTCCTCCCAGTGTAGATACTGCCTTTGAAGTCTGTGGGCTTACTAGAGAGACCACAGTTACCCACAGCCTTGTCATCCCATTCCTTCTTTATCCACAGAATAACCAAAAGCACTTTTTAGATGATATAAGATTTTTCCAATTTTCTGACATATTTTATAGCTTTTGTAGGAAGAGCTATGCCAGCAAAGACCTTTTATTATTATAATTTTGGCCTGTCATTTGCATTGATACTCTGCAGGTTTTTTGCCCTTGTATGAATATTTTTCATGGATTAAGAAACCTATTTATTCTTCTTCCTTCTCATTTGGTATGCAATAAAAATGTGTCCAGAAAAGAAACCTAATGAAAGAAAGTGATATAGAAATAACTTCAGAGTGCAATAATCACATAAAGTCATCTCATCAAATAAATGGTTTATCATGGTCCGTGATCCCTGCCACAACCTCTCTGTGCAGAGTAGTCTCAAATACCTGATCCCCAGCTGCCTGAGATCAGCAGAAAGAATTCTTCCACTTTTTAGCTGGCCTGTGGCCCTGTTAGGTTACTCTGGTCTTGTGCTCCAAGTCAGTCTCCTCACAAGCCCAGTGCCAGTGAAATGTGTGAGCAGGAAGGCCAGAGGAAAAGGCAGCTGTGTGCTGTCTGTCCCTGGTGTCCCAGCACCTTTTCTCCCAAAAGCTTCTCTCTCACTCCATCTCCACCCTCCCGAGAGCAGGAAGAGCTGACAGGAAAGGGCTGCACTTTCCTCTGTGGCTCCCATTTTTCCTGTATGTTGTACCCAAGGCATCCAAGTGTCCCAGTCCAATCTGGATGCTTATCTGCACTGAGTGTGGGGCTGTGCACAAGTTCCTGGCCATTCCCTTGAGTTTTCCCCTCATTTTCCATCCTGAAATGAGTCCTGATGCCAACCCCACTGCACTGATCCCTGTGGCAGGGGAGAGCTGATGGCTGCAGCCAGCATTGACCTTCAGAGCCCTGCTCAAAACCATGCTCAATTATCTTGTTTATTTGAGGCACAGGAGAGAGTAAAACTGCTTAATTACAAATACAGTTGGTAATAACACAAGGACCGTAGTTGGCTGGGTGAGTAGAGATAATGGCACTTCAGCAGAAATTAGGATTTCTTTGTAGTGATATTGAACTTGGTAATGCCAGGAGACCAGTTTCCTCACAAAGTTTATATTGTGCAGTTTCCCACAACACATTCTTGTTGCTATTGCTCCTGATCTTGGAATCAGTACCCAGGACAAGCAATAGGAATCTCCTTTGCAGATATTTTTAGAGCACTGAATATACTACCAATTTTGATTCTGACAGCTATTTTTAATTAAGCTTATTTATGTTATGACTTAGGAGTTATTTTTGCATCCCAGTAGCATATTAAGAGTTCTGTAGAGAAATAAATATAGCCTTTTAGATAAAAGTTTAAGAGGCTACTGGATGTCACATGTCACCAGATATAAACAGTCCTTAGGGGCCAATTACTGACACTGAGCTCAAAGATCAGGGACTGGATTCTTAAGTGCATTCTATCTACTATATTTTGTGCTACAGCGATCTATGACCAGAGCCAGGATAACTCATCACAGAAAATAGTTTACTGGCAGTTTTCACATCAAAATCCAATTTTCTTAACCAAAGTTGGTTCAAATTAACTGAGTTGTTCTTGCTGTGTTTTACTTTTCCCCCTCTTTTTGAAGTTGATCAAGTAGGAAGTTCAGAAATGGGTCAAATGACTGATGTTCTTTCATTCTGCCAAGGTGAAAGGGAAGAGAACTTTGGCAGAGAACATTGCAGATAATGGAGGTCTGCGAGAAGCTTTCAGGGTAAGTAGATGGAAAATATCTGAAGCATCATGTTACTTAAAAATAATAATAATTAAAAAAGCTGTGGTTATCTTCACGTTGCTGAAAGGCACTTAGTATCTCTTTCTTATCAGGCATACAGGAAATGGATTACAGAAAAGAGGGGAGGAGAAGAAGAGCCTTTACTGCCAGGCCTTGAGTTCACACATAACCAGCTTTTCTTTCTGAGTTATGCCCATGTGAGTAGAACAAATGTGTTTCATATCCCCATCTATTAACTTGAATAATGTGCAGTGCAGAGATGAGCTTCTTTGTTTTCAGCAATCTGCATCACCCAAACACAGATTTTGAAAGTATAAGCAGAGACTTCTCCCACAATTATTATTTCTTTCTGTTTCCCTCTTTGTCTTCAACAACTCATGGTGCCAGAACTGCTGAAATGATTCTTGGTTTTGCAGTGTTGTCACAGCAACTTTCTTTCTTTTTTCTACTTCTCTGCACTAAAAGGGTCTTCCTGCATGTATTGACTCCTCAGCCTCCTTCAATTTTAACTCACACCATTTGTCACTGTGTACATTGTTCAAGGGAACCAAGCAGCACTGAAGAAAGTCTTAGTTTATTTTTTCCCATCTGTACACTAAATATGCTGTGACAAAACTTTGATAACGGCTGTGAGATTTTTAGAAAAAAACATAGAGAGAGGGAGGATCAGAAAGTATTTATTTGGGTAAACAAATTGGGGCAAACTCCCTACATAAGAAGTAAAAGGCTGTAAAACTTTGCCACTAGTAGAAGGAATGAATCATCCCAAACTGAAAAAACAGGATCCAATGCAACCAGTCCTGACTAAAAATAATTTCTCAGCTGAGAGTCAGTGTAGTAGTCTGTGGGCCTGTGGCTGTTTCAGTTTGACCATATTGAACAAAGAAAATATTTCATTTTCATTGTTTATGCTGAATAAAGTTTCACCTTATGTCAGTTTTTCTCCAAGAAAATTTTCACACTGTAGGGAACATCTGGGGCTCTTACAGGACCACTGCAGAAATCATATTTCCAGTGGTCCCTCACAGGGAGGGCACACTCACAGTGAGAGCAGTGTACGCAAGGTGCCCTCGAGCTCAGTCTATTTTCACAAAGCTCAAGAGACTCAACGGACTTTTATAAAATGTCAGGACTGTGTTCAGCCAGAAAAAATTGCACTGAAGTCCACTGAAATCCTATGGGCAATCTGGCTTAAACGATTTTGTTGATAGGAACATTTAATGTAGAGGCTCAGGTAAGGTAGGGGCAGTTTAAAGGATATTTCTCATGCAATGGATACAGCATAAGAGGAGTTATTCAGTTGTGCAAATATTCTATCTACCCTGTTTTTTGGTCAGTTATGATTGAATTAAGCATCTTATCAGGAACAGGGAACTGGAGACCACTGATGGAAATGTGGAATATGTGTAATTTCAAAAGAAACTGACATTCCAACATGGCATAAATATAACAGATAATATAACAGCAGTTCTAGAGATGATAAGCATTATTATGTGTACCTTTTATACACATTATATAGTTTTGAGACCAAGAAGTATATTTCGTAATTATTAAGGTGTGAGATGCTGCAAAACAAGCTGAAAGACAAGCTGCCATTATAGAGAACTTCAAAAAAAGAACTAGCAAAGTGACTGTGATTAGATGATGTGAAAGAGTGTGTAGAGAAAAACAGTGGGTGGACACTGGATCCATTAAGGGATTTGAAAAACAAGAGAAAACTTCAGATTGGCAAAGGTGAAACAAAGTAGGAGTTTATGGTGCCTTTCCATTTCATGTATTTTATAAGTAATGGACATCTTAAGAACAGTGACATTACATTTTGCTGTGCATAAAAAGTCGTCCCAGATAATGTGCCTGTTTCTCTTTCTTTTTTTTTTTTTTTTTTTTTTATTATTAGGTAAGATGCAATGCCTTTAGACCAGAATCTGCGAGGGAGCAAATATATACTGGAGCTCACAGCCCTCCTCAGTTCAGGTAGTGCAAATATGGTATTTCCTCAGTATACACACAGAATCAATCACTGCAGAACAGAAGTGCAGAAATATAGCATTTTAAGAGGGGTTTAAGAGCAAGCACAAAATTGGATTGTGCTCTTGGTTCAGATGGAAATTGAACTGCTTTTATTAGCTTATCTCTCACTATTATAAATGCTCTTCTGTAAAACTGAGGAGCTTGCATCTACCTTCAAAAGCATTTGAACCAGAACACACTCTGATCCCTGTGATGTCCTGTAATCATGGCCTGAGTACCTGAAATGCCTCATCTATCACTTTCATTCCCTAAGCAATTCCAGCTTAGAAAACAGTGAATATAAGGAGGGGCCTTGATTTAATCCGTCGGAGTTCATTAAAAGCTCTTTCGTCTCGACCTTGAATTACATTGATAATGCAAAGCAAAATGTGCCCTGAGTTCAGTCCAAGCCCTGACTCCTCCATTGGCCTTCCAGTGATGCTTTGTTTGAAGGAGCTGTGGTGGTCCAGCCATAACAGAGGCAACCTGTCCTGGCCAAAAGGCTCCTCTGGCCACAGACACTCATGAACTCCCTGCCATGGGAAGGGGGAAATTTTAGAGACCACATAGGAATTAGGAAGCCTGAGTTTATTTTTCTGCTTCTTCACCAAGAACATGTTGGGTTTGTTGGGATTTATGTTGGTTGCATTTACTTAACTCAGAATTCTGTGTTTGCCCTTGGTCAAGTACTACATTACCTCTTTATTTGGACAAAGGATGTTATATCCACAACAAAATTCACACAATACAGTGGATTATTTGCATTCTAGAGAATCTCACCACTTTCTGTTGACTGAAAGAGTGTTATACCAGCTAGTGAGTAGTGCAGTATGCAAATCTGTATGCCTTTTGACATTGAAAATACATCATGACAATGAGGAGCATCAGGCTGACCTTCAGCCCACAGAGATATTATTTTCATAATTCCTACCCATATTAAGATTTTGGTAAAATAACCATCTGTTTTCTTTTAAAATCCTCAGGTTTATTTATCTATACATATATTTATATTCTGAAGAGTTTCATAGCTACATTCCCATGAGATGGTGATACACATGGAACTCTAGAGATAGAGTATTTATTAGGAAAACTCCTGAAGGCATCAGGCTATGAAAGAAAATTTCAGAGCTTAGGTTAATTTGAGATCTAGAAAATATAAACAAAACTTTTTCTTAGTTTTTGTGTGAGATACTGAGAACTGGCTTCTGTTTCACAACTGAAAAACAGCAGTGGTGCTTGTCTCCTTGCAAATCATATCAGCTGGGCTAAAAAAAAAATCTATTTCTCTCAGCTTGGTTTCATTTATGTCCCAAGACTATTATAAGCATAACTGCAATACAGCTAGCTCCAACACTGACAGCTCTTTCTGTCAAAAAAGCTCAAACAGCCCTTTTAAAAGTAATCATAAAAGGTAACAATAAAAATTATAGAAATGAACAACACATGTCTTGAGCACAGATGTATGCATCTGAACTACTCACACCAGTTTCTCTTCAAAGTCAAAAAGGAAATGTCATTTTAGAAGTTAATATATATATAAATAATCTTTCAGCAGGTAATAAATTTAAATTACTTAGACTCTGCAAGTACATCTTTCTATTGATTACAAGGGAGGCCAGTGTGACCTGCTCAAGGAAAGGTGTCTCTGCTATAATTCAGTGGGATGAAATCCAGACACTCCACTCTGATTTCAGTTAATGAGTGGCAAAATCAAACCATGGGTAGAAAAGTGGCGCGCATGCACACATAAAGATTTTTTCACTGGATAAATTCCAGGTTTACTTGTTTTTAATTGGCAGATTTTCAGTATTAGCATGTGTCTTTGCTATTTTTGAATGCCAATTTCAGATTGAAATCCCTGGCATGGCAGGCAGAACTCCCACCAACATCAGCAGCAGCTCTGCATGACCAACTCTTGCTGTTCCAGCCCCTGAATATGTATCTGCAATTTTTTTTTTTTACAGTAAAGCTGCGTATCTTATTTGAAGCCTAACCTAATTTGGTAATCTTTGCTACAAAACTGACCTTTAGGCATTTTTGTGCCAGATGACTGCAATTTTTTTACTCACAGAAAGTCTAATCAATGTAATAAGAATATTTTCTACCATGCTGAGCTACACTGAGAAACAAATTGTCTGCAATATAGAAAAGTGCTTCCTCACTGCATAACAGAGGCAAGGTATACAATTGCTATCACAGGAGATGTGTTTTCTGTTTTTAACTCAGAAAACTCTTTACAACCATTACAAGTTTCAGGTTAGTAAATCCCAAGATGGTTGAAAGCATAGGAAAAAAAAGCAAACACAATTGCAATCTAGCAAAGGTAAAATAATAGTTTCTGACTGCACCAAATAATGCAGACATGAAAGAAGGAGCCAAGGATGACTGCATGCAAGGACCAGCTCTTCCCCTATGCCCAAAGGTGCCAGTCTGGAATGCAGGCACATTGTCCAGATGTGTCAGGCAGGGAGGTGCTGCTCTTTCAGTATCACAGCACCTGTGGCAGAAGCAAGAGAGCATGGGAGCTGTTCAGGGCAGCAGGCACAGAAAATATATTTCCAAAATATCAGAGGAGTCAGGATGCTCGCAGGTGCAAGGCTGAGCAGCCCAACAAGAGCTGTAAAGTCCCAGGGAGCCAGTGTGTGTGGGTGTGGATGTGTGTGGGTGGGCAGAGCATGCTGTTAGGAGAATCTGGAGCCTCATGAAACCACTGCCAGCACAAGCCCAGTGTGTGCTGACATCCTCCTGCCTGCTGCACTGCAGCTGTCTGGCAGGGCTGGAAGAACAATTCCACCCTGCACAGCTACTGTTGATCTCCCACCTGCGCTGCAAGGGTTACACTAGAAAATTGTTCTAAAGGGTACAGTATCACAAAATGAATTTGGTTTTCCTAAAGTTTCTAGCAAAGGAAGATGTTTCTCAAAGCATGAAACTATATTTGCTTCATATTAACTTTATCTGGGAGCCCTTCTCCTGAACCTTTTGCTTTTATTTGTGGGGAAATGATATCAAAGCCTGAAAATTCAGCCTGAAGTGAAAACACTGAAACACTTGCAGACCTGTAGTGTTTGACAAAAGGCAGCCTGCATGTCAATCACCTTTCTCTTTGCAGAGTGATCGGATCCATGAGCAACTTTGAGGAGTTCCGCAAGGCGTTCAACTGTGCGGCGAACACGACGATGAACCGCGGGGCGCAGTCCTGCCGGCTCTGGTAGTGGTTCCTGCCAGCCCTGGTAGCTGTTCCTGACAGCCCTTGTCTCAGGAGCCTGCAACTGAACTGCTCAAACCCACAGCCAGAGTTTCAGAATGATGCTCTGAAATATGGAGAGGCGTTACTTCAGATACGTCTTCCTCACCCATGTTGACAATCTGCATGGATCCAATCATTCCTTACTTAGAGCCTAGAAACATTCAAAATAGAAGAGCTTTTCTTTAAGTATAATAATAAAACGTAACTCCTTTTAACCCAGCTCATCTGCAGTATCACTGCTGTTGATGGATAACTGCCATTATCAATTCTAATTCCTGATTTATAGTTGAGCAAGATGTAAATGCTAAAATCCAGTTTTAATCTATTGCTCTGCAGGGGTTCTATGCAGAATGCTCCCACAGTAAAATTTATTCTTTCTGGATGAAGAAATTCATGAGACCTGCTATAAAGCCAGCTCTGATCTGCTGCGTGATACTGCATTTTCATAACTTAAGCTGTCACTGCCCAGCATGCCATAAATGATGTTGCATGATGTAAAGACACAAGACTTTATATTAGTTCAGTTTAAGATGTCAGATTAGTGCCTCTGGTTTTGGAACAGTTTCAAGCTGAGAAAGTACCTCATGGTATTCATCTGTAGGACTAAAACATAAAGGATGCTTGTCAGATCATGGCCTCTTCTAATTCTAGAACAGCTTATGATAAAAATCAATGTATGGTGAAAATCAGAGGCTCTCAGAGGGGATTCCCAGCACCACGATACTCATAAATATTGCAGCATTTATTCTAGTTTACAGTGTAGGCAGTTTTTTTCCCAGCACCTTGTGCTGAAGATAGCTTCATCTACATTTATTTTTTTTAAGCCAGAAATACTATACCAGTTTTAAATGATGGATTTTATTGTTTCTGAGTATTACATGGCATTTTAAGTAGTGTGTGTGTTTGCCTTCATGTTCTGGATGGGGCAGGATGACTCGTGATTTTAAGGTAAGAGTTTGTGACAGAAAAACAGACCACCAGCATATTTGACTTGTCAAGATAAAAAAAGCAATTGAGGAGTAGAGGACCTAAAATACAGTAAAAATACAGACTAGTTGAGTTTTCAATTTGATTTATAAGAATATTCATGAAAAGATACTTTCTTATAGCAGAAAAACTTTAACTCATAACTATTACTGGGGGGGAAGAGATGCAGGGTGAGGGAGGATGCACACACAGAGCTCTTTCTTCCTATCAGAAAGGTACCTATATGAGTGGTATATATTTATACCTTGTGCATTATTTCATTTTTACATGGTGTAATTATCTCAAAAAGACTTTCTTTAGACTGATTGAATTACTGCAAATCTATATGGAGTAATATACATGTGTATATACATATATACAAAAAATAATTTTTATATGCTTTTATTTTATTTTATCAGTATAGAAATGTTAGTAAGAGAAACTTCTTTTTACAAGGATTGGTCTTGTAAAAATGGCCAAATACTGTTGGAAAAGGACTTGGTTGGATGGTCCAGAGGGTGATGGCTCAGAATTCCAAGGGACATCAATGACAAGTGGTGCCCCTCAGAGGTTCATGCTGGCACCAGTGCCATTTAATATCTTCATTAATGACAAATAAAGGGATTAAGTGCACCCACAGCAAGTCTGCAGATGGCACCAAGCAGCGTGGAGTGGTTGTCACACCTGAAGGATGGGATGGCATCCAATGGGACTTGGACAATGAGAAGTGGCTCGTGGGAATCTCATGAGGTTTAACAAGACCAAGCGCAAGGGGCTGCACCCGGGTCTGGGCAACTCCTGGTACCAACAAAGTCTGGGGATGAACAGATCAAGAGTGACCCTGCCCAGCAGGACTTGGGGTGCTGGTGGGTGAGAGGCTGGACATGACCCAGCAACAGGCACATGCAGCCCAGAAAACCAACACTGTCCTGGGCTGCATCCAAAGCACTGAGGGCAGCAGGGCAAGGGAAGGGAGAGGAGGCCACCAAGATGATTAGAGGGATGGAGCACCCTCCTATGAGGAAATGTTGTGAGAATTGGGATTGGTCAGCTTGGAGAAGGGAAAGCTTCGGTGTGACCTAAATTTCAGCCTTCAGTACCTGAAGGGAGGCTCAAAGAAAGATGGATTTTCACAGGGGCATGTCGTGACAGGACATGGGGCAATGGTTGTAAACTGAGAGTAGCTTTGGATTAGATGCCAGGAGGAAGTCTTTACTGTGAGGGTGCTGAGGCACTGGAACAGATGGCTCAGAGAAGTTGTGGGTGCCTCATCCCTGGAAATGTTCAAGGCCATGTTGGATGGGGCTCTGAGCAACCTGGTGGAAGTGCAAGGAGGTGACCTTGCCCATGGCAGGGGGCTGGAATAAGTTGGTCTTTAAGGCCCCTTACAACCCAAATCATTCTATGAATCTGTGATTGTCCAACAGTCATGGTGGAGGAAGGTTTACTGAAGCTAACTAACTGAAACAAATTGGGTTATTTTCCTGTGTGTCTTTAGAAAGAAGGGGGTCATAATGGAAGCATAATTTATGGAAAAGGACAGGATCTCAAACTACCTTCCAGAGTGAAGGAAGCAGACATTCCTGTCCTTAAGACTATGTTGCCTCTTTTTAGAAACAAAATATTGTGATTTGGGACCAGAACATTCTTTTACTTTTTTTTTCCTGAAAAAGTCAAAGATTTCTTAAGAGGAAAGCATTTTCCCTTCCTGAATTCCAGCTCAATTCCTGAGTTCCACAGATTACAATTTATCATTTGAATTGCCACTACTAAATTTTTTTCCTGGAAGTATTTTGCCCGTAAATAATGGTGGCAGTATTTTCATGGAGCTTTTTCTCAAACAAGCAGGTATGGGTCTTTAGCAAAGGGATACTGTTTGCTGCCTAATGAGAAAGTTGCTTAGGAAGCTGAGTATGTACTGACTTCATTTTTGTGCTCATACGAGCACTGACACGACTTGATGTTGGCTGCTTTGGATCAACAGCACAAAGTTCAGGGTTGATGTCCTGGCCCAATTAAAGGTAGTACCAATATGGTTGTTGTCCTCAGAAAAATCAGGACATCAGCTCAGGCACTTATCTGGATTTTATAAATTACTGGAATATGCAAAGACAGTTTCACAACAGTGAACTCTGTGTTTTCTAATTTTATCTCTCAAATCAGAGATGTATTTGCAAGAATTCCTCTCTCATGGTTATTTTCCAGTGGGACAGATTCTGTTATTTTGTGATTTATGAAGTTGTTTCTCTGTACTGGATTAGATTTTTTTTCTAAAATGTCTGATGTTTCTTGCTTTAAATGCCATTCTTCCTGCTCCCTGTTAGGCTCAGGTCTTTCATGTTTAATACCAGGGATTTCTGCATGGTAGTGTGTGTATTCCCAATGGCACAGGAACCACTGCAAACTTTCATCCTTGCTGGGCCATCTCCTGCAGCAGGCAGGGGCCAGGTTGGGGCTGGGGGGACAGTAGGGAGCTGGGTGTTTTGGGGGCAATGCACTGGGAGAGAGGAAGAGAGAGCATGACCTGATTTTGTACCCTGATTTTGGCAGCTGAGAGGGCACCCACACACTGCTGGGGGAAGCCAGAAGTCCTTGCTGCTGACTGGTACGTTTATCAGTTGCATCCTAATTCAGGAAATTCTTGCTGTTGACTCAGGATCTCATTGTTCGGGGTTTAGGTCTTGCCTGTGTCCACACAAGGACCCTGGACTGCCTCACCTGCTGCTTTTTACCTCAGACCAAAGAGTTCATCATACAATTTACAGTTCACTTTGGATAAGCTGCTTAGGTACCATTTGGAAAGAAAAGCAGAAGGTAATTTAAAAAGTTCTTAAAACTTTTGCCATCAAAGACAGCCAAGACATGTGTGATGGTTTGTGAGGGCTCTGCCTATTGCCTCTGTTTTATCAGAGCACCTGGCTGTGCCTTGCTTTTGCATTGTGCCTCCTGGGTCTGTGCCAGCAGTGCCTTCCTGCATTGCTCTCAGGTTCACTTATTACATCTATGCAAAAAATCCTTCACCACATATATCCTTTTCCCGGAGCTTTAAAATTGTTATTTTGCTTAATTGTCAAATAATATATCAGTTATATTGGGAAATGTTTCTTCTTGTTGGCTCAGTAATCTACTTCTGCAGTGACCAGGAGGGGTCACCTATGAATGAAACATTTTTACCTTTGTAAATCTGACGAAATATTTTTCTACTGTGTAGACATAAAGAAACAACCTCTACTCCTGTCCCATCTCTCCTTCTTCAGGTCATAAAAATATGGAAACCTATTCTCTTTAGTTAATCTAGTCTAGATTTTTGTTTTGTTTTGTTTTTGTTTTGTGTAAGCCTGAAATGTTAAAACACCAGTTTATACACTGTGAACATTTCTGCTGATCATATTGTGGAAGACTAAGCTCTCTAAAAAGGCAGCTGTGCTATTCACCTGTATAAACTGCTTAGGTACGTAAATGATGTCCAAGCTGGGTCTGGACACCAAAGGACGAAAAAACTCAGCTGAATTATAAAACTCTGCCTCATGCCCTGTGCAGCTGGACTTCACTATTCTTTAGGTAGGAACATTATCATGTCACTAATTGGTTGAATAATTTATAAAATAATCAGGTAGGTCTGCATATAACTTCTCATTGAGTATTATTCAATTAAAGACTTGGAAGTATATCTCATAACAATGTTATATGTTATATGTATATATATATATATATATATATATATATATATATATATAGACACATGTATCTGTCAGTGAAATGTTAAAAGCCTGAGAACCCAGGAGACAGAACTATAGTGATTTAAAATGTCTTTTAAGTCTTTTTAATCTGATTTGTATTTACTGGTCAGTCTATTGTACATTTGAATTTTTCTACTTGCATAGTACATTGGTTGACTGTTTTAAAGACAAATGTGTTAGCAAATAAAGCTGAAGTGATGAAGAATTTTCCTATGCTTGCAGTATGGTAAAACCTGCTTGGCTTGGCACTATCCAATTCTACAATATTACTTCTATAATATATAGTCTTAATGAGTTGTAATAAAGAGCATAATGATGTGGCCTTAGATTCTCAAGACTACTTTTACTGCTTGACAGGCTAAGAAGGACCTCCTCTCTCTGTCAGAGAATTGTGTAGGCATCATCAGCCAGAGTTTAGGGCCCACTTGCCCTCATTACCCTGCTGGAGGTAATTAAAATGAACATCTGATGACCTATTGTGGATGAGGGCTGGATGCTGCAAAAGCTGCAGAAGGGCAGAGCTGTCTCAATCAAAAGCCAGTGGAGCACAAGAAAGAGTGAGAAACGATCTGCCTGCCTATCAGCCTCCTTCTTCTCCTCTTCCCCAAGTCCCTGCCTCTCTCAGCCCACTCTTTGCTTTGCAGCTGCTTTAAAGCATTTTCCAGAGGAGTTTTTGATAAGACAGTCTGTTGTAATCAGGTCAACCCCAATGATGGGGGAGAATGCATCTGACCCCATTTATATCAGAAAGCTAATTAATTACTTTATTATGCTATATTATTCTATACTATATTACACTACATTACATTACATCTAAACTGAATCTGCACAAAGCACTCAGCTCAACTCAACTGCACAGAATCTCGTGATTGTCACCCAACAGTCCTAACGCACATGCTTGGCCCTGATAGGCCAAGGAAAAAAACACCATCATTCTGGGTAAACAACCTCCATATTGCATTCCATTTTGGCACAACACAGGTACAGCAAATGAGATAAGAATTGTTTTGATCATTCTTTTCTCTGCTTCTCTCACTGCTTCTCCCAGGTTCAGAGAATGTGAATCCCACAGTGGTCCTTGTTCTGTGCCTGGGTTTGAACTCCAGCTCAGCACACCATGTCCCTCATGAGCATGACTGAGCGCTGCCAAGGGCTGTTTGGGCACAGGGGCTGTGCTGGGGCCTCGTCCATCCTAGCTGGGCTTTCATGGGCTGGGTGCTCCCTTTCCTGGGCTCTGCCCTGGCCAAGGTTCCTGGCACATCAGCAGTGGTGCTGGCGCCCTTCACGGCAGCACCGTGCCTGTGAGCATCAAGGAGCAGTTTCTGCTGGTGGGGACAGTGGGTGATGTTGCTCTTACTGCAGATTTTGGATGGTGCTCTGTGGTGATGCAGCCCCTTGCAGGCCACTCTCCACACAGCTCTTGGGTTTGGGGAGGCAGGTTGTTCTCTAAAACCTGCATCAGCTCTCTCTCCTACTTTACAGTGCAGCCTTCCAACATTTCTAAGGGCGAAAGCAAAGGTTTCTGTGCAGGAAGATGAATTAACAAAGCAAAGGTTGGGGTCAGAGCGTGAAACCAGCCTCAGCACAAGGGAAATGTTAGGCTTAATTCTCATGGGTTATCAGCACCTTGGCAAGATGCTTTAACAATGTCTATAGAACACCCTGAGGAATTCAGGGTTTAATTGCTGCAGCAAGAGCCTGCTTCACTAATCAGACAATTTAATCCCATTTACAGTGTAATATATATTAATAAAAAAGAAAAGAAATTAAAGATACCCCAGGGATTCTTCAGCACAGCATTATATTTTATTAAATATAACATCAAAGTTGGAAGTTACTGAGAATCAAGATAATGTGTTACACTAAATTGTGATCAAAGAAAGAGATACAATGATATAATTGTAATAATCCATAAGCAACCAAAGCTGGAACACTCTAAGTATGAGGTTAGACACGTACACAGCTGCATATATTAACTGTGGTTGTGAACTGAAATGTACATTATTATACATGTCTCTAAAAATTTTATCTCATCCATATCTACTGTCCAAACTGGTAATCAAAGCTCAGGGAAAGGCTTCAAAAGAGATCTTAAACTTTTTCTACCACAAAGTTTATTTAACATACCAGTGCTGCTGTAAGCAATGACCACTTAGGTTGTTTTATGTGGATGACGCATAGTCCTCTTCTGAAATGTGAGTAGCAGACATTTAAGTATAGAAATCTGAAAAAAATATGATGTCACATTTTCTTGACACTAAAAGAGTATTTGGGTAGAACAAAATAAAAAAAAAAAACCACTTACATTCTCAAATACAAAAATTAGGGAAACACAAATGTGTGAGTTTATGCCACGATATGCAATGAGAAATAAAAAACTATTGTAGGATATGGAGTTCCCAGACTGGGTCAGGGGAACGGTTTATAACTTGACAAATTATTTTTCCTGGGAGAAAAACCTGAGTGCAGGAGACTTATCTGCCTTCGTTACTTCGTGTTAGAGCTCTGTCCTTTGGTGGGGGTCACAGTGCTGTCTCCTGAGAGTTCACCCCAACCAGCCTTGGGGCTTGAGGGATGCTTCTCTTTGCTTTCTCTTGTGCGTCTAGACCACCTAAAAAGGCTGCAATTCTGCCACTGATTTCTAGTTTTATATGTATTTTTTGTTCTTTTCACCAACGAACACATCATAGGAATCAGCCACTCTCCATACCATGGCATTTTAAATGAATAAAGAGGTGCTTTTGTAGGTCTGTGCTGCAAAACAAGGCAGTGCTGCTGCATCTCAAAAACATCTGTGAGTTTTGTGGAGTGGGGCTGCTCTTCACCAGACAACACATGTGCTTCCATGTCATTCTGCTAGAGTGGGCCTTGGGTGCCTTGCACTGGAAGAGAAGAGAGCAAAACAGGGAGTAATGTCTGAATAGGATGACAAAGAGGAATTAGAAAGTCTTTAGTGTTGTAAAGCAGTAAAAGATTGCATTAGTACAAAAGCATTACTACAATTACTGCTATAAATGATTATATATATGTATATGGGCACAGTGTGGGAAGTCTGTAAGTCTGTGCTACGTGAGTGCATATAAAAGTGTCAGAAATATGAATTGTTTTTTAAAAAAATTGAGTCTCAGGGTAAAACTCTGACCTCAGTGAGTTCACTGAGTGATTAATGTCTGTGGGGCCAGCATTTTATTCCATCTGGATAATAGCATATAAAGTTTACTGATTTAAAACTATTTGGGACACACATTTTCTTCTCGGCAGAACAAAATTTCCTGCCTCTGGTATTTTCAGCATCTGCCCTGTCCTCAGTCATTTGCATAGGACTTACTCTATTTGCTCTTGTTTAGCAGATACTCCATTTTCATATTTTTAAACATTTCAAGAGTGAATTTGTCACTGTTTCAGAATTGCAAAGTAGCTTTTTCAACTTGCCCTTTCCAGATATGGTTCTATTAATCATTGAAATAAACTTGCTATGCTCTATCAAACTAAGTGTAGGCTTATTTATGACACTGAGATCATAAATATTTTTGTCTCCATAAATGTTATTTGTCTCTCCTAAGTGTCTTGGTCTCCATGATGAGGCAGAAAAGTTTTGTGGTCCTGGAGTGGCAGGGGAAGCTGTTGGTGCCCATGGCAAGGTCAGTGCTCTTGGGCTGCAGGGTGGCTGAGGAGATGGGTGATTCACCACGGGCACATAAAGCTGCTCAGCAAGAAAAGATCTGTGCTTGGCTGTGTAACTTGCATTAAAATGGTACTGTCTGAAAAAACAAACAAATCTGTTGTCCTGACCAAGAAATTAAAGTACTTTCAAAAAGGTGGGAAGACTTGAGCCCTCATGCTGAGTGAGGCAATAAAAGCACTTGCACTTGCTTGTGCAAACTCCAGCAATGTTACAGCTTTGCAAAGCTGCCTCTGCCTGCAGCTGTGTCCTTCCCCTGGTTTGGAGATGACTCAGATTGCTGGGTGGGCTGAGCAAGGAACAAAACTTACTGCTATGGGAGTGCAGCATGTAAGGAGAGCTTGTGGGAAACAAGGAACCCCCCTGCTGCCCAGAGAGGAATCACAGAATCCTTCAGGCTGCAAAAGATGGTTAACCTACACTGCCAAGTGCACCACTAAGCCTTGTCCCTAAATGGTACATCCAGAGGTCCTTTAAATGCCTCCAGTGATGGTGACTCAACCCCTTCCCTGGGGAGCCACCAGTAGCTCCACCACCAGTACCCACTATAGCAGTGGGTACAATGCCCCTTTTTACAGTGTCACCTCTGTAAAACACACCTTCTTACAGTGTCACTCCTGTAAAACAAACACACCTTCTTACAGTGCACCCCTGTAAACCAAACACCTTCTTACAGTGTCCCCCTGTAAAACACACCTTCTTACAGTACATCCCACCCAGACAAACTTCCCGCTTCCTTAGGGAAGCCCACCTATGAAAAACCTGATGGAATGGGGAGGAGGAAGGGACTTGGCCCAGACAGGTCTGTCTAAGCACTGGGCACACCTTGGTTTGCAGGAGCACTGATGGGGTGGCAGGACTGCTGTGTTGTCACCATGATATTTTATGAAAAATCCCTTCACCAGGATTTTTCTCCTGAGAAGCTGAGAAGCCTCAGAAAAGAAACGTGAACAATAATAATCTGACTGCTTGGAATGTGGTCTGGAGGTTGCCTAACAACAGGTGCATCTTTGATTGGTTCCATGTGAATTGTTTTCAATTAATGACCAATCCCAGTTGTCATGGTTTGGGCCTGGCACAGAGCCAGTGCCCCCATGAGTATACCCTCTCCCTGGTGTCTGCTGTGAGATGTGACCAGGAATAAGCAAAGCAGGCTCTAGCTTAGAAATAAAGAAAACTTTATTACCTAAACTACAAGAAAATAGAAAAAAAAACTATAAAGGAAAAATTTGAAAACCTTACAAAAAGCACTTTCCTCCTCCCCACCACCAAAATTTCCCAATCCGATACATTCCCCCAAATCACTAACTGCCCAGTCTGGCACCACCCTTTAGAATACTCAAACTTCAGTCCATGAAGAGGAGTCTTTCTTGCACCATAGGCTTCCCCTGGAAACACGCTGAAACCTCGTGTGCTTCCATGTCACTCAGCACCGCCCGGAAAAGTCCTTTTGTCATTTGTGACATCTTCCTTCCATGCCCAGTGCTCTCACCACTGTGCATGGACCAGAGCCGCTTCTAGGGCTGTCTTTTAAGGATGCCTTGTCTCACTCCAAAAAGGCACAGTCTCTGCTTTGGGACATCTGTCCCCCCCATATTTTTCCAACCCCCTGGGGCCGAGGGGTCC